TAAATATGTCAGTTTAATGAGGCAGTTCAATGAGTTCAATCAGATTATACATCTGATGATAATATAGGAGTGTGGACTTCTCTATATTATGATAGAGCATAAAAGATAAAGCATTTCTATCCATGTCCATATTTTATGGTGTTTGTCCTCTTCATAGAATGCAGGGAATATAGATCCATGTACTGCAAATACTACAACAAAGATTTCAATAATGTGGCAGTGTTATCATGAGCAAAGACTACACTATCACATTTCTTTGTTTATATTTATTACATTTTATCCAGTGTAATAATTTTAAGTCATTACCTAAGTCTGTACTCCTCCTCAGGGTCAATTGCTTGTGTATTAATTGACATAGTGCATGTCTTCCCAGAGTCTTTACTACCTGTAGAGAGGTAAACCACATGTAATTGGTCTTCCGAGGCTTGGAAATGAACCAGATTATAAACATAACCTATTAAACCTGGGGATTTTAAGACAATAGATTTACTGTGTACTATCCATATCACAAAGCTAACAAAAGTAAAGAGTGATTTGTCTTCCTATACCTTTTACCACAACTGTTATCCTATTGTAGTGGGAATAGAAGTGACTCTTCAGTTCAATTATTATCCTTATACTTTTACTTCTGAGTGTACACTATACATCAAAATTGAGATAATATTTTGAAATGGTAATACAGCTATGGTATTAAGGATTTCCTGTCGATTTACAAACCTGACAAATTCTGTTCACTGGGTGTTTTGGAGGACAAAATCTTCTTTGCTGAAAATGATGGATTTGCCTTTTTAAGTAAAAAAAAATATAACACTTGCTAATCCTTATCTTCATACTTTCTATATATAACTTACATAACAATAAAGTAAGACATTTCAAACTTCATTGCACAAGTTATTATGGATTTTATAACATTTTGAAACTACAAATTCCAGACCACTCTTGCTTCATACAAACCATCTCAAAATCTCACCATCTTCAGAAATAAGGACTACATCACAGTTTTTTAGAAATGTTGCTACCATCTAAAACATCCACACCAGGGTTTTTAAGCATACTGCCAGAGGTCGTCCTGTGTGTAAGGCATGCTTCATCCAAACCATCTCCTCCAAATAAGTTTTCAGAAAGAAGAAACCGTTGCTGGCCTGCAAGTGAATCATCTTGGTAGGAGGTTTGACTTTTTCATCCTGTTAATAATAATAATAATAATAATAATAAT